CCACAGCCTGAGTAACTTTAACCGAAGTGTAAATTTTCCTCGCTCCCATTCCGACCCCTACTGCCGTATAGGCCGCTTCGCCGACCCCTCCTTTTACCTGCGCGCTGAAGAGCAGATCGCACATCTCTCGATTTGCAGTCAAGATCATGCAGGAAGATTCGATAGCTCCGTATAGTTCGCTATAAATGGTGACTGTATCTCTCACCATAAAGTCATAATCTTTAAAATCGATTGAATTTAGCTTATGCTGATATATACTGTCTATAAAAATATGGGTTTTACTTACTGCTTAGTCTCTCCAATTCCGTAAATACAGAATGAATCTGTGCCTGATAGCGCCTAGCCTGCGTTTCAAATAGTCGATTTTGTCTCTCCACAGGAGAAGATAACATATCGGACTATCCTTGTCAGCGATCTCGGCAGTATAATCTACATGTAGATCCAACTCATCTAATACAAGCTTATACTGATCCACATACAATATATCTTCTGAGGTAACCCGCCGCAGTATTAGAAGCCTTTGTCAACTGATTGGAATCACTCTGCGCCCAAGAACGCAGAGGTGCACCGGCAATCGGCATGAAGTTCAAGATTGTATTAAAACCCACTGCCTCTCCCAAACCCAAGAAGAGAAAATGTACCGTCACCGCCCTATTGAGTAAGAACCATAATTGTCAGGTTATCCGCTAATACATATAGCATTTATGCAACTACCAATTGATCGAACCTATACCCAGTCTTAAAATCACCAATGATTTATATAACTTGGGTCTGATCTTGAACTATTGGTAGAATTGGTAAAGATAGTGCTACTCGCTCTATACATACCATCTAGGCCACCCCCCACGTTCGGTTCTAGCTTGCAGGAATTCTATGAAGAACCCCGGGCCTAGTTGGGCGCAACTGTGATATAACGCCCTTATCCAATATTGGCTGAAAACTGGTGATAGCGGAGAAAGACCCAGTCTTTCTGAAACTGTCAGGTGCTTAACGATAGGCCCCGACCTCTGGTGAAAGACACGACTACAAAAATCTTCGGCGGCGCTGCGAAATGTGATATTGTTTTGGTTCCCGTAAGAAGATAAGACGAATTTTATCTATCGAGACCCAAACACTGATTAGATAGGCTACAACGTGAAATAGGAGGGGGGCTAACGAACTTACCCTTACAGTAGTTTCTCCTCCATCGTCAGGTATTGTGATGTGAGAATCATACTTCAGAGGTGAGTATGTCATATTGGTGCTATCATCTATACGGAAAAGTAGGCGAAGGAAGCTGTCGACCTCTTGACGATATTCGTCAACGTCATTGTAGTTTCCATCGGCAGGGTTGACCTCGAGATCATACAAAACGCCGTCAAGTACTTCGCCTATAGGATCATATGGGGGTGGAGGTGTAAAGGGACGATGAGATTCAGGCTCAAGCTTTATTAGTTGTAATTCTTGTGTTTCCTGTAATTCCTTCTTTAGATCTTTTGATTCTTCTGGATTTTGATTTTGATCATCTGTTTTCCGTGGCGTAGGCTCCATTGTTTCTATCCTCAAGTCGAGTTTATATAACTTACTTGGCTGTTGAAGAGATCGAGCTCTAAAGCCGTCAATAAGCTGGAAGCGTGGAGCGTACTAGCTAGAGCTATAGAACCACAGACGAAGGGATGGATACATACCTCTCTTACGCGTATCTACTACAAGTCTGGGAGATTGGCGATATGTAGAGGTTGTGGAGCAAGAAGAGTAGGACCGATCTTTTGTGATCACTTGAGATGACAAGGCAGCATTGATCATTTTTACCCTTCGGGCGTCCCATACATATCATAATACATGTTATTACAGCCAATCAGTTGACTGACTTACAGCTACTTCTGGGCCATTGACGAGTTGACATAGGAGCCAACAATACCAGAGCTCAAGAGTTGAGCCTCGTTTTCTTTCTTTTTGGAGTTGGTTTATGTTAAGGTAGTCAAGACGGGTACACCATTGTAATTCTTTTAAATTTATGAACCATTGGATACTCGTGTAAACGCAGTAAACTTAGCGCCAGCTTCAGCTGCCAATCCAGGCAACAGCAACTAGAAGTCAATGGGGCGGGCAGAAATAGATTCCACTTATCTACTCGTAATTTCATAGCGTCTTTAAACACAGCTGGGTCTGCATACCACCAAGATTTAGAGCCTCATGCATGATTTAGTTACGAAATTACGAGTAAGTACTGTCGTTCACGGGGTATGCGACATTCGGTCCTGGAATTAATAGTATATTAATCTAGCTTTTGGCGTTATTAACTACATACCCTGGTTATTCAGTTAACTGCCTTTGTAGTCCCCCATTAACATGGTCCGCGACATTCATCTCGGACCCCCCCACTCTGATAACTCCGCCCACAGAACAGCTAAATTAATTTTGGCACTGTAGAGTGATAGAGCAGGTAGAAACTAGTCGAATAACAGAGAGATAATCAATTTAGGGTGTGGTTGTGGAGTGTTATCAGCTTCGAAAAACTTGACATCGAAAGTGCTCCGGCTCAAGGTGTCCCCAGCCATACCAGTTCTGGGTTTGCCCGGAGTAGGCTGAACTCTCGATCATGGAATGGGTCCTGGTCCACAGTGTTACCAGTTACCCGTGAGTCGAGAGAGGCACAAACCCTTGGCTGCATGCACCCCTTCCCACTCCAAAAAAAACCGTGTTTACCTGAACAACTCTGACTTGACCTCCACCATGGCCGACGCTGACAACGATTCAAATTCGACCGTTGAGCTCCACCCTGACAATGATTCGGACCTTGAGTTAGTGCACTTCGAGAACCGTAATAGAGTCGCTACAGGCCTTTCATACACCCGCGAAAGGTACGACTACGATAATGTTTGTATTGACAACACCCTGCCACCGTTTCTTGCCGATTCAATAAAACAAGATGCCATTTACCATTACGGATGCATGAAAGAATTGGAGTCACCAAAAAACCCTGATACTGGTAGCGGTAGCGAGAGCTCCGGTTGTTACCCACCCTTAAGCTTCCCGATGAATGTTGCGATTGAAAGAGAACATTGTTAACAAACAGATAGTTAGCGATTCTATAATTCATGTTAAACCCTACAAGACGATGGAGGCGGATCGCCTCCGCAATTTAACAATATTTCGGGATCTATTGCTAGCCGACCTCACAAGCCTTCTTGACAAGATCCAGGAGCTAGAAAATAAGCTTCTAGGAAGGAAACAACAATATCAGATGTATGACCTCACTCCCCACGGGTTGTTGACCGAAGCGGAACCACAATTATACTAACCCACACGCGCGCATCATTTAGAACCAGGAGGATACATTGTGGACTAGGTCTTGGGCTTGTGGGTATGAGTGCTCATTGGTTCAAACCGCTCATCTTGACATCATCATCATACGACCATTATTTCAAGAGCTATAGGTCAGAGATTAAAAGGATAAGCACTATTTTCGCTGCAATTGGCTTATACGCTTTGTACGCGTTACTTTCTGCGCATAGATATAGAAAGGCTGTGGTCTCTACTTCTAATATGAGAAAGCAAATAGCTAGATTTGTCCGCCGGGTTGAGGAAAACCAACCTTTGGTCGATAAGGATATCAAATGTTTGATGGGAGCAAAATGGGATCAGGTGCCGTGGAAAGAGGTGGAGATTGAGCCTTCTTGGAAATTGATGTTGGGCTTATAATTATACACTTTTGACAGTAAACATATGTAACGATAAAACAGAACCAGACACAAAACTACGTAGCTAGACTCGAGCTGATTTCAACTCAAAAGCAGTACACACCGAGGATGTTAACCTAGCCCAGATCATGGCTACTACGCTGCGAACTAATATATCGTGAAGTCGGTCCATATCCCTCGGCGTTCAGGCCAAACCCGCATGTGTTACCGAAACGTACGCATAACGAATGCTGTCTCATTCACCAAACCATGTACAGTCGTTCACGGGGTTCAGACGGACACTAGGTGTTTACGGACAGGGGAATCTCAACGAATAAGAATCCTTAAAAGAATTATTTGTAAAGCTTGGCTGTTTCTCGCCATGCGTAGAACCCTGTCCGTCAACACCTCCACCCTGTGAACGACTGTACCAACTTACCACCCTCCACATCCGAGCTGATCAGACAAACACAATTCGGCGCCCACTCGGGACATCCTCCCAGCCCCGGACTCCATGCAGCTACTCCCCTCTCTCGCTCGGCTATAACCCAAGGCTGATATCGCTTACGTCGCGGGAGCTTCCCGGCACCATTTCCCGAGTGATGTTTCATGAGCCGTTGTCCCCGGCCATCATGCAGCACGCTAACGTCGTCGCTAACCTTAATTCTGTTTTCCTCCTCCTCGTTGGCCTCCACGACGACGACCGACTCCCCGATTGCAACGGATAATTATAGATACCTTGCACCAATACCTACTGCTCTGCTCTGCTCTAACGTAACGTAACGGTGAAGTTCATGCATCATCCTAGCGCCGCCCCCCCGTATGTGCTAGGCGGATAGGCACTATTACGACTTGCTTCTGAGACTGAGTGATAATCCTTGAATCGGACCGCAGGACCCTTTGCAGGCTAAACTCTATGGGTGTGGTGTTTTTTTATGTATGTACGGTTGTACGCAGCAGAACTTTTTTGATAATAATGATATGATAATGATATCGGTTATGGTAGCCGACATACATACATTTATTTAGCTGAAATTTCTCAGATATCGATCCAATTGACCGCCAACGGTAAAAAAATAAAAATAAAAAAAAAAGTAAGAAGAAAAAAAGAAAATATCTACAATGAAAAGACTTTTTTTTAAGGACAGGTCGCAATACCGCCAGTTAGAAGATGGCGGTTGCAAAAAAGGGAGGGTTTAGAAAGACACAAAGGAAAAGTAAAAAAAAAAACGCTCGGGTTTGTCGTGCACACAGAAACAAAAGCAAAAACTCCCCAACACCAAAGGAAAGAAAAAGAAAAATGATAAATTGTACAAATGGGGACTTAGAGACATCAAGTTCTCCGTGGCGCAATTGGTTAGCGCGTCCGACTGTTAGAATTTACTCCACCAGGCGTTGTTCTTCGGTATCGGGAGGTTGGAAGTTCAAGCCTTCCCGGGGAAGATTTTTTTGCTCTCGCTCGCTTTTATCCGGTAGGGGGTGTTCGTTGCAAAGGTCGGGGGAGGGAGGCTTGGCTTGCTAATTGAATAGCGTATGGTATTTCTCCATTTGTGCCCTGAACCAAACAATGATCATTAGCGTTGTACAGACAAATCATAGGGTACAATGCTCCCGAATAATAGTAGCAACTCCCAAAGTAGGTTAAAAAAAGGGCAACTCACAAGTTTGCGCGCTTGCACTCCTTCTCCACAAAATACCTCATCCACCCCTGGCAGCTCCCCTCAATCAGCTCCGTCACCCTCGTCTTTCCGCCCTCCACCTCCTCAAACGTCCTGAGCTTCCATATAAACACGCCCTGCTTCTCCGCCACACTCTCATAGAGGCAGCACCGGCCCTCCCAGTCCGCCGTCTGCGAGCCGCGGACGGTGACCTTGTTCTTGAAGAGGCCCTTCATGAAGGGCATCTTCTCCTCGAGCACAAAAGTCGTGCGCTCGAGGCCGCTCTGCGCGGCGGCCGCCGAGGCGGGCAGCGAGGAGGTGCCGCGCGCGGTGGAGAGCAGGCCGGGGGAGATTGAGATGCTGCGCGTCTCGCCGGTGGTGAAGGCTGTGCAGAGGTCTGAGAGGCGGGCGACGGTCTCGAGGTTGCTGCCGCTGGTGAGGACGGGGAAGACGGTGGGGAGCGGGTGCGGGAGGAGGACGCTGTTTGTGGTGGTGAAGTTTGCGATGGGGATTTCGGGGGCGGGCGGGGGCGTTCTGGAGTCGGTGACTGTCATTGTTGCTGGGTGGTTTGGTTGGTTGGTTGGGGGGGGTGGGGAAGGGGGGGGGTGAGAGAGAGTGCTGTGCTGTGCTGTGCTGTGCTAATGCTGAGGGAGCCTGTGAGATGTAACGACTGACAGACGGGCGGGGCGGGCGGGCTTATACTAGACAGATAGCTACACTGCAGACTGATGGACGGACTGGCAGGAGAAGTATAACGAGCAGAGCAGAGGGAATGAAGGAAGAGAATCGAATCGATAAGTAGGTGGGAAAAAAAAAGGTAGGGAACCCGATATTCCAAATAAGTAAAAAAGGAAAGAAAAAAACAAGCCCTCCACTCGTTATATTTCACTACTTGAAAGCCATAGCCCTGGGGGGGGAGGGAGGGAGGGTTCCCGGGCCTTCGGCGCCCCCCCTGACTTGGGTCGGGGGGCCGTCCCCGACGAGGTTAGCTCGACCCGGCGGCCGCCCACACACTCTCCTCGCACCTCCACCCCCCCCCCCTCCACTCCACCCACCCCATTCTTTCGGCCGTAGATCATGCAGGAGATCTTGAGTGAGGGAGGGGACGTGGTTTCGGGAGGGCCCGACGGTGTGAATTCTCCGGGAAGTGGGTTTTGGGGGGGAGGGGGTCGAGTGCGAGACTGTGAGTGGGATGAGATGGGATGGGATGGGATTGGGGGGGGGGGGTGTTTGGCTCATGATGTGCTAGGTCATGTAGTAGCAGTAGGCAGTAGGCGTGGTCGTGGTCGTGGGCGTGGTCGTGGGCGTGGGCGTGGGCGTGTGGTGGTAAGATCGTGGTACCTACATGCAGAGGCAGAGTAGTGCTATAGTTCAATCGGTACCTGCATATGGAGGCTAGCTGTTTGTGGATGTTGCGGATAGATACGAGGGTAGAGTGCTAGCTAACCGGGTTGGACAGAGTAGAGTAGAGCACGGCACTGTACTCTACTCCTACTAGCAGCTACTGCGGTAGTACTCTCTCTCTCTCTCTCTCTCTCCCTCTCTCCTCTGCTCTACAATCTTGATAGCCCGCGATCCACTCTACTCGTCTCGCACACCCATACCTACATGTGCCCTCTACTCCATGTAGTAACCTACCCTACCTACCCTCACTCCCCCAGTCTTCTCCCCTCCATCCCTCCATCCCCACCACTACCACAACAACAACCACCACCACCACCACGCAAGCGAAATGAACGAAATGAGGCCGCAATCTTAGTCCCACTCCTACACCAATCCCTCCCCCCCCCCTCCCCGGCCAAGCGCAAGCTTCACACATGCTCAATCTGTGAACCCCAACCCCCCAACGGTCCCAGCGACGGTATGAACCAAGATCGATCACATCCACGCCCAGTTTCTTTTTGATTTTATTTTATTTTTTTGTGACGAGGGGATAACGTAACCTGCAAGCGAGCCCCAGTGGGTGGAAATTGCATTGACTCGCAGCCCAACTGACGGCACCTATGTATGTAGGTACTCTACTCTAGAGCGCAGAGATACATGTACCTACAGCTACACCTCGCCATGTATAAGAAACGCCAAGGCGCAGGCAATTTCGTTTCTTGTATGTAGCAAAATTTCCGGCAATATTTTCTTATAGCAGGTAAGATTTTGGTGTAGAGCTGGTTGGCGTGTACCCTATGCGCTGTTTCTTACAGCAAGGTTTTTTCTTCTTCCTATAGCGAGGTTTCTTGTAACGAGGTGTAGCTGTATGTACCTACAGTGTCAGAAATGGGGTAAAACTGATACCGCATTAGTACGGCATTTTGAGAATATGCCGCTTTTTCTCCGTACTTCAACGAACTATACGGTAGTGTTACCGCAGTGAGTGGTACGGCATTGCCAAAGACTGCGGCAGTCACTCTACCCATGTTTCTGTTACTGTGCCTACCTAGGTTAGAGCTGGAAGGAATTTCAAGGGCCCAGCGCTATGCACAAACCGCTTCGTGAACTGTCTGCAGGTCAGGTAGAGCAGCACTACCTAGTACGAAGAGAACCGATGGACGGATCCCGGGTGCGGGAAATGAGCGGTGCCTGCCAAGGATTGAGGCGGAGGGGAAAAGCTACTACTACATGTACCTACATACTACTAGAAGGGAGAGAGAAACCTTTGACGGCAGACAATCTAGGGGGGGGGGGGGGTGTTGGTTTAGTCTGGTTAGGGGATGGATGGATGGATGGATGGGATTTTTGAAAGACAGTCGGTCAGTTTCACTCGTTCGGTCGGGTAAATGGGATGTACATAGATAGAGTATCTACTGTATCTACAGGTCTATCAATTTGTGCATGGCACTCATGCAGACAGAATTATATTTGGGTATGTGTGATAGGCGATGCGGTTTCTGACCTCTACCTAGGTAGAGTACAACTTTGACGGGCGATCTCCCCAAGTGACGGGACCCGGTTTAACCTTCCTGGAGGCTGGTTTGGAAATGGGAAGGAACCCGGTGCCATGTATGGTGCCTCTAGCTAGCTCGCTATCCGTTTAATCTATCTTTGTAATTCCAATCTAACTGTATGGGCTTCTATCCTCTGCCTGCGAAGCTCGAGCTTCTTCTTGTTCTTGTTCTTGTTCTTGTTCTTGTTCTTCTTGTAGTATAGCTCGCGAGCTTCGGCGACCAAACGAGGGTTTGAAATCAAGATATCTATTGCCATTCGATGTAAGTAGAGTTGCAATTGCCCTCTCACTCTATCATCATGATCATCAGCTTGATCACCTACCTACCCACCTACCTGCTAGCTAGCTAGCTTACCCACCATTTCTGCCCCACCTACCTGTTTTCCTCGCGGACCAGAAACCTGGAAAGTTGCTCCAACCTCAGCCTCAGCCTAAAGCCATACCTGACCAGCGCCGATCTCTCCTCCTGATACATTGTGTAGCACTCCTCCACAATGCCATCGGCGAACCCATGAACGTGATGAGACTTTGGGGTAAACATCAGCCTGTTCCTCCACAGCCTGTACGGGGCGAACAAATGAGACTCGGAGAGGACGTGGTACAGCCTCTGGTTCTGCACCGCACAGAACCCGATCTGGTACTCGAGAAATTCAATTTGCTGTTTCATATGTGTGATAATGTGGGCGTTGGAGTTTGCCATTTTCGGTTTCGGTTTTGGTTTTGATTACTTGCTGCTAGCTAGCTATACTTGTTACATGTAGTTGGTTCGAGTTGAGGTCGGTGGTTAAATACATGTAGCGTATGGCTCGCTAGCTTGTACTTTAGTTGTAGAGATAATCCGGCAAGGCAAGGGCACTCTTATATGTCAGACCCTGCAGCGGAGCAGAAGCCGTTCAAGTCAAACCCTTGAAAAGCTACATGTATGTATGAATGTACGTATCTTTCAAGGTGTGGACAATATGATAGATAGGAACAATCGCCCGGAAGATTGAAACCCTTATTTCGTGTACTCTGAGTAGAGTATATAACGCGTACTTCTCCCCGTAGACCCGGGGCGGGCATGCACACCATCAGCGCAAAACTGACGAAGGGCACGGGCCCGCAATTACGTACCCAAATTTGACTTTCATATGCGTCCCGAACCAACCCCGGGTCCTCCTCCCCGTCACCCTCCCTCCTCCTCCCCCCGGTGCCCGGCAGAGATATTGCGGTACCGAGTGGGTACCAATAGGGACGTTTTCCTAACGCTTAACCTTCCTAGCTAGGGGACCCTGTGGTTGCTCTATCGGGTGTGTATGTACTCTAGGTACTTTACCTTTTTTGCGAGGTACCCATTACGCACCGTTAATTGAGAGATCCTTCTTACTTAGGCCTTCGGTGAGTTTTGCGTTGCTCTAGAGTACCGCTTAGCAGTAGACTGCCGATCCAACACTCGCATCAATCATTGCCGAGCGGCGCTACAGGACCTCAACGGCGGCACTTGCACTGTCCCTATACCAAAGCGAGGCAGGATCAACCACCCCAACGGCAGGTTCAGGGAAATTTAGAATTGGATGATTGCAGTCTTCGCCTGGGCGTTAGTTCGATGCAGAACTTGTCTCTTGATTTCATGGCGGCGGCCAGGTAGGTAGGTAGGTAGGTATCACGAATCTCGAGAGTTTCTCCATCAGCGCATCCTGTAGCTTAGAGTGCGAAAATGCAATTCAATTGCCGCGAATTGATGCGTGCTTTTCGCAGGATGGCGGTGCCGGATTATTCGCTGTTTAAGATAGAGAGCGGGTGAGCCGGAAGCGTGGGTTTTATATTATGGAAGGGCCCAAATCTCTTTCGAAGCTACTTGCGCTGGC